GGTTAACAGTTGGTATGGTTCTCAACCCATCCAACTGCCCGTATAGCCAATTTGATTGCAACCAAATTGGGGTATCATGTACACAAAACACATAGCATGCACATGCAACCCACATTAGCACATTGGGAAAGGGGAGAGAAGACGTATAATAAACTTATGCGTGATCATCCACATACTAGGAATATTCCTAAGGGTTCATACTTCTTTCACCTACGACAACAGGATACCAATTCAACTAGCATGCAATACATAAGACTCTTTTATCCTACGAATGGTACCCGAATCATCAAACTAGACTCAGACACGATAAACGGAGTCCGTTGGGACACCACGAGGGTCGAGGAAACTTCAAACGGGGAAACCACCATCCCACACTGGGGAAACCAGCGGGTGCCCGGCGGGTGGAGGACCACCCGCCGGCGGCGAGGTTACTGGGCAGCGTGTGCCCGGCGGGCAGTCGCCTGCCCGCTGCCGACAACGCCCTTAGGGGCAGCGGGTAGGTGGCGGGTTCCCCTACCCCCACCTACCCCCCACTGACTCTTTTTCAATAATTGGGTCCCGGGATCTTTTGTGGAACCCGAAACCATGTTTAGACACTTTTAAATGCAAACAACGGCATCACGTAGTCAGATAATGGATCAAAACCAAAAATCACATTGAACATATTCTAACATGACTTCTAGACATAATCAACACCCGAACATGCGAATTCCCACCCAAATATACCAAGAATATCTCAATACGAAATTCACGATTCAACCTAGGGCTCTAATCATATTTAAATCACAAAATCATACTTTATCTTTAAAATCAAGAACATCAAGATTTATCAAGACTCAACACACAATTATCAAGATCCTCTTATAATCATCAAGATCAACACATAAGATCATCTCATCAACATCAAGATCATATCATAATCATCATAAAAGATTTATCAAGACACAAACATAGAGAAGGAGCCAAAGAAGAAGATTATAGCAAGGAAAATAGGTTTTGTTGAGACATGGGTTACCTCTTAGCCTTAATTGGAGTCCTTGGCTATAATGGTTCTTTCTCTAAGATCTCATCTTCTTGATTTCTCCTAGGGGAATTCTTGGGGATTCTTGTGTGTTGAAAGCTATTGTGGTGTGAGTTCTAGGTGCCTCATGTGTCCTTATATATATATATATATATATATATATATATATATATATATATATATATATATATATATATATATATATATATATATATATATATATATATATATATAAGAGTCCTAATTAAGGATTGAATGATATGGATTTACTAATTCTATTTCTTGACTAAGGGTTTGGTTTAGGGATAAGGGTTCATGGCTTATGGTGGACCCTTCTTAATTAATTAAGGGAATTAAATCCCCTTTTAAGGGTAAGTAATTAAGTGGTAAGGTGGGAGTAAGTAGCTATGTGGAGGTGGGGGTGGAGGTGGGTAATCATATGTGTAGCGAGAGGTGTAAGGTGGGTATCCATGGTGGTAAGATGGGATTTGTCCCCATGGTTCTCCTCTATGGGTGAATACCCATAATGAAATGTTTCATCGTGTCTTGGTGGACTCCTTGGATACATCTTGGGAAATTGACCCTAGATAAAGTTTCAAGAAACAAATGGTTTGGAACTAAAAGTAGTTGCTTGTGAGCAATTGATATATGCAAGTTATGTATACTCACTTCAAAATCAAGTAACAAAATGATAATATGTACAACTAAGAAAAGAAACGAATGAAAGTAAATGAACAACCTAGGATGCCAATACAACTTGTTGGTCCCGGGTGGGGTTAGGGAACAAGTCTAGAGGGGGAGGGGTGAATAGTCTTGTTAGATTTTTTAAAATAATTTGTGAAACGTTAAAGCAACCGGAGGTGACTTTAATTACTCGAGATTATGCATAACGAAATTTGTTAACCCCTTGTTAAACTTTGTTAGCACGTTTTTATCTTTATAAAATTTATGTTTGTTTGTTAGTAGTTTGCAAAATAAAAGCAGTAAATAAATAAGAATATGCAGAGAGAGATTTTATAGTAGTTCGGCCAAACCAAGCTTACTCCACGCTTTTCCTTAAACCCAAAGGAGGTTTACACTATTTATGTAGTACAATGAGACCACCTGAATACAAACCCGACCTTGAATGTCTAGGTTTTTCAACTTCACACGAGTTTACTCCGTCTCTTTCTACTTCTATGAGTAGAGTTACAAAAGTTGAAGATAAAATTCTTTATTTCTCCAACTAAGAAGATTTGACTTTTGAATGTCTTGATCTTCACGTGTAAACAGCACAAGCTTCTTGCAAATTTGGATTTATCCTTTCAGCTTTTATCTCTTTTTCTCACTGGTCACTAGTTGTGAATTTTCTTGAATTCTTTGAGCACTTAGAGAATGTCAGATTGACCAACGCTTTCTTCAGTATTAGAAGAGGGCATTTATAGACGTAGTAATGAAAAAGGTCCATTTGAGGGAAACCAGTTTCAAATGGCTATTAACTAGTGGGTAGAGACCGATAGGTAATTAGGAGAGTATGTGAGCGTGTCAGATTTTTCAGCCGTTAAAGACTTAATTTGCGCTGAACATATCTTTTTGCTCTACACAAAAAGTCAAGGCTTTTAGGGAAATATCTTTTTAGGATGTGTTCGTAGGACTCACTTTGCCCTAGACACATTCGCTCAATATTTAAGGTTTGGAATTGTTGGCTCAGAGAATGTTTCAAGCAGTCCTTTATGAATGGTTAACTAGGTTAACTCTTTGAACCTTAACCTCTTGGATACAAATGGTTGACTTTACCATTCGTCCCTTTTTACTCCTCGAAAGGTAGGTCCTTCCATCTTTTGACCTTTGCAACCTTTCGGCTATGAATGGTTGACCTTACCATTCGTTCTACTAACAGTTCGAAAGGTAGGCCCTTCCACTTCTAAGCCTTTATAACCTTTCAACCTTGTAGTCTTCTACTCTTCAAATCTTCAATCTTTTAGTCTTCTTATATTCATCTTGAGCTATTCAAGCGATAACCATTCGAGTTACTCTATGAATCGTTTATTGAGACTGACCGAAATGTAACCATTCGAGTTACCATTCAGATGTTTTGCTTAACCGAATTGTGACTACCCGAGGTACCATTCGGATTGTTCGAATGTTGAGCAGAAAAAAAAATTCTAAGTCTAGAAAATAAAATAATTGGGGACTAAAAATCCTATCATTTGGTATCATCGAAATCTAAAACAAAATGTTCATAACACAACTCTTATGACCACCAAGTAAAACACTCTAATCAAAACTGTTTGCCATCCCCGAACACAATGCCATTTGACGTGGTGTAATGTAGCAGTACAGTGGATGGAAAGAAGGTTGGGAAAGATGGATACCCGGGAATATCGTTCTCAAAAGGATGGCAACTTGGAGTGATTAAAGTGTATAGCAATCATAAGTGAGGTAATGACAAGGTTAGACTAGGCGAAGCAAATGTAGTAAGAAGCATTGATTTGAAGGTTGAAAGTGTAAGCAAGCAAAGGAAGTAAGTAATCAAGTAAAAGATGGGGAAGTGGATTAGATCCTCTTGCTCTTATGCATTCGGTTTGGCGAAGGTAGAGTTGAGATAGTGTATCTTTGACTATCTTTGGAAGATACTTTAATAGCACTAGGCCGATACAATCCTAGTCTCTTATGCAATTATTTGTCTAAGATATTTTATCAAACACTTGGTCTACATCTCTTTACGGACTTTGTCCTCTCGGATCTAAGGCGGGAATTGCAAGTCAACAAGACTATATATAGTGAGGCCTCAATCTCTTGCAAGTCTCACTCTCTCAAACTTCTAACACAATGAGGCCATCAAAGTGCAAGGATCAATATTAATATCACTCCCAACAAAGATAATAGGTCATCATCTAAATCAAATCTTCTCAATTAATTGATCAAGGGCTAGAATGCATAATCTAATCTAATCTAAAAACATAATAAGTCTCAACCAAAGTTATATCCCTAATTTATGTCCATATTTTTAATGCTAATCATTTTGTACATTGTGCTTTAAGAGTTGTACTATATAATTATTTGGACAAAAATACCCCTATCGTTATAACTTCCGTTATCTTTTCTATTATTGTTACCATGTACATGCATCCACCATATATTTTCTTATATTCTTTAATGATAATGATATTTGTAGACATTATATATTGGATTAATATAATAAATAAATTTTATTTCATATAAATTTTAATTAGTAAGGATTTGTTAGTTATTTTTAGAAATATAAATATTAAGCATATGTTTTTAGTTTTTTTTTGTGCATCGCACATAGAAAAGACTAGTCACAAGAGAAATCTAATCCAATTCCTAGAGATTCGTAGCCACACTTGTTCTTTGATGAATAGCAATTGCACAATGGATTATGAAATTAGAAATAAACGGAATTGAAATTGAAAGATCACTTAGATCCAATTAAAATTGCAACCAATCTTTAACAAGATCTCCAATCCAAAGCAAGAGATGAATCCAAAAATCCAAGCAATGTGTCAAGTTACTTTAAGCCCTAGACTCTTTCTCTCTCTAGGATTGGAGAGAATTGTAAGTGTTGCTAGAAGTGGAAAACTAAAACTAAAACTAAGTGTTACAAAATCGGCCAATTCAAAAATCCATTAAATACATTCGCGCCCTCTTGCACAATTTCCTCCACGATTGTGGCACTGTCGTGCATAAGGCCGCCATCACACCACCACAATCGTGGCGATGATCATGCAACGTGCTGATTCTTATTAAAACCATACCATCATTACTCTTATATTATATATAATTTAGTTGAAATATATGTTGCAATTTGTGTATCACACATAAAATACCACTAGTAAGTAGTAATTCACAATTGATTCATACTTTTGGTAGTTGGCATTGCCCAACCTACTTTTATGCAATTAATTTGTTTTTTTTTTTTTTTTTGAAAATCAATTAATTTGTTAAATACGCTTAGAATCGCAACATTTTATCCCCGTCCAATATTCCGAAAACTGCACGCACGATTAGCGGCAGTCAACTAGTCATATCAATGCAAGGAGCGCGAAGAGGCGAGTAGTAGTCTAGAGGAGTGCTAAGCCACCGTTAATAGACAGTTTAGAATCTAGATCCTTTGGGAAACTCTGAACCAATCGCATTGGATTAAAATTCGCCGGTAAATGACCTTCTTCTCCGACGCCTCTGCTTCTTCATTGGTTCGCCTCAATATCGGTGAGTTCCCTCATTCCTTCATCCCTTTCACTACTGTAGTCAACCATTCCAGCACCGATCTTCGACTATTTGAGCAAAAATAACAGTTTTGAAAATCTTGTCTTCGTTCTTTCGTGTAATTTGTACATTCAATCAAGCAGGTGGTACAATTTGAAGCAGTAATTACACTTTGACAGCAAAATATTGGGTTTTGCCTTTTAGGTTTCAGCGAATGAGTGGATTCATATCATTTGATCGTTCATTAGGTTTGGGGTTTAGGATCCTTTCTTTTCTTGAACGGGGCCTTTTTGTTTTATATGTTTATTGTTTATTTCTTGAAGGAGGGAAGAAATTTTGCACCACAGTGGATACCCTGACACAGCGTGAGCCTGATTCAATGCTTGCTGCGATGTTCAGTGGTCGGCACACTCTCTGCCAGGAATCTGAAAAGGTATCTGCTTGCTACAACTTGGAGGAAGGTTGATACATTTAGTCATTAATTTGTTAGTATGATCTTTGTGTTGCCACATGGGAATGATACAGAAGTTTTTAGAACCCTTGGTTTTGTGATTTTTGATAGTATTATATTGTGTTGCTGCAGGGATATATTTTTGTTGACAGGGATGGAAAACACTTTCGGCATATTCTAAATTGGTTGAGGGATGGTGTTGTCCCCACTCTGAAAGATTTTGAATATTCAGAACTTTTGCGAGAGGCAGAGTACTACCAACTTCTTGTAATTAATCTTTTCTCTCCCTTTATTGACGTTATTGATATTGTGCTATAATTGTCATAGTGCCATGTCCTAGAGGAAAGAAGTGGAACCTTTCTGTCTGAAGATATGCGGGGAAGGAAATGTATATGCCTGCCATTGGAGTTCAAAAGAAAAGAAGAAAAATCATGTCTAATTGGGCCCATAAATGATGGGAATTAGTCAACTTTACCTCTCAAAATGAAGAAAATGCCTATACAGCATGAAAAAGTTGGACACAGCCTAATTTGATTGATAGTATCTATGCCTGCATTTGATGTCTTCATTGCGTAGTTGCCTTGTTTCAAGTACATAGATGCATAATAAGCTCTAAATTCCTTCCTCTATGGAAGTAGAACACAAAATGAGGTGCCTACTGTTTAGAGAGTGTGATTATGATATGGTGTTCAATTGTGCTGGACTTACCGAATGTGTTTTGCTTATTAGCATCATGATAACATTGCTATTCTGCTGAGTTTTAATTTTGCATGCTTGTTTCAGGGACTGGCTGATGGAATTATAGCTGCATTAAGTAAGAGGAAGGAGGAAGAGGAGTTGGTTTCTGAATTGACACGCACTGATATCATCAAATGCATACAATCTGAAAGAGTCAGATTTCGTGGGGTTAATCTTTCTGGCCTTGACCTTTCTAAATTGGTAAAATATTCCAATGCCAAACCATTCCCAGTTACTTGGTCATATTCTGAAGTTATATTTATAGACTAGTCTGAAATTCTATCTGAATCCCGCCTTCCTCGACTTTCTATGTTAAGTTCCTAAACTTCTATAGGAAATTTATGGCTTGTTATTCTCTTAGGGGAACTAGGAAAATCATTATATCCTTATATGTGGCTTGTTAGTTAGACATCCATGCCCTTGTTTCATTTTGTCTTATTTTCCTCCCTGTTTGGCAGCTCAGCATGCATCCCAACTTATGTCTGATGTCTTGCATTTGATATGCAGGACCTGTCCTTTGTCGACTTCAGTTATGCATGTCTTAAAAATGTGTTTTTTTCACGTGCAAATCTTCAGTGTGCAAAATTCAAGGTAATTTTTTCTATTATACTATGTGAAATTCTAAATTTATATGCTTTTGTACTCTCTGTGTAATACTGTAATATTTGTAGAGGAATGAAATGCCCATTTCTGATTTGAATTAGTGCTTGCTGCCTAGTATACTTTCAATTTTTAGGAAGAAAAAAGGGGCCTTAACTGCCTATGAACCATGTTATTGTCTATCTGTTCTTGCAAATATCATCCAATTACAAAATATTTTGATGTGATACAAGATTAGACATGCAGCTGCTAAGGGGCTGCTGACAGCCTGCTTTTAGCCAATTTTTATTCTCTTTTAAGTTGTAGGTATCTGCAAACTAATGTCAGTAGCAGGGTAAAAGGTGTTAGCTTCTTCCTCTAGATGCAGAATAAAGCAGCTGACTATTTTCCCTCTTATTTCACAAGTAAAATTTTCTATCAGGTTTCGACTTTAAAAAATCTACTTGCAGAGGCATTTAACTCATCAAATTTGATTCCACTATTTAAAAAAATAATAAAAAATTAAACAGGTTTGAGGATTAGATTCAGCCATCACACTATAGAAGTATTAAGCCAAAAATTTCCCTTGTCGCAAGGTCCCAAATGATTCTTTCTCCCCCTTAAACCCACTTAAAAAATATACACGACAGTCTGAAGCATCTTTTTAATAGTGTTGGCAGACGGATTTACTTCAAGCGTGCACATGCTAGTAGACCTCCTTTCAAAACTTGATTTTTCTATCATTATAAATTTCGATACATCTGGAAAGCCCTCCATCTTTTACGAGCTTACAGTGCTCCTGTGTGTGTTATTTGATTGCACTGTAAATAAAACTAAATTCATTAACTCTAGGGTAGGGTACCAAATTCAAAATTATCTTACTATTTCTTTTAACAAACACAATGGTGAAAATAAAGATGTAAATCGCAAACATATTATAATTATGTAAAGAAGTTGTATATTAAGAATATCTAAAGTATGAATTTAGTTAACTTATTAAACAGCAATGTGAAAATATTTGGTGGTATTTACACCTTTTTTGTATCTTATTATCGTTGCTGCACTGCCTTGTTTCTTATCCCAAAAGAATGTGTAGCGACTTAAGCTACCTTTGACAGTGGTTTTATCTTCAGCATAGATTCATGTAGTTGCATATTTTGTAGTTTCATGCCTAACTTGGTGCTTTTTGGAAGTACTGATTTTAGGATTTTTTGGGTATAAGTTCTAGGAGTTATTCCAGCACTTATAATCCCTGCTCACTAATTCAGTCATTTTTTAAACTTCATTATAGGATGTGGATGCTGAGGCTTCCATTTTCCATAATGCCACATTACGCGAGTAAGGATTTGCAACAATTTTCATATTTGGTATATTGTTCTCTTGAATGTGCTAGGGCTCTCAGTCATCTTAACTTTTCTAGATTTTTTATGTTGATATTGTATTTTCACACTTTCTCCAGGCTATTATTACTGAAATAGTTTCTTTCAACTTCTGTATTCCTTTGCACTATGGCCTCATATAATTTTTTTTTTGTCCTTGAAAAGATGTGAATTTACTGGAGCAAACCTCCGCGGAGCTTTATTAGCTGGTGCAAATCTTCAGAGTGCAAACTTACAGGGTGAGTTTTCTCTGTTTAAATTAGTACTACTAGGTGACTCATACATATTTCTACAAATAAGGCCTTAGGTTGATGAGCTTGCATTAATAATTACTTAGTGCTATCTTCCTCAGTCGTTTTATTTCGTATTCAGAAAAGATCTAAGAAGTGTGAGGTTCACAATTGTTTATGTTGGTCATAGTACTGTTGATGTGTTCTGGTCATTTAGAGAAGATTTTAAAATTGTGTAGTGCCGAAAAGCTTTTTACCAGATTGTTGTATCATAGAGTGCTTGAAGTTTGCTTCCATGCATATGGTATACACTAGAGTAGCATGTTTCCATGTGATTGTAGTTCCGTAATGCAAGGCCTTAATTGCTTAAACATGCATTAAATGTGCTGTAGCACCTGTGATTAGCTTCATATTATGCCTAATTATAGGAACTGCTCACTGAATTAAATAGAAAACTCTATGGTACTCCGTGTTAGATTTAGATTGTGCATGTTAATAGTTTTGTTCAATACTTTTAATATTTCAAAAAGTAATGCATGAAAAAGGACTCAAGCTACCTGTATAACTCATGCCAGAGTTAAATATTAACTAAGAACACTATTGCGTGTGGATAAAAAGAAATGATGGGAACTTAATCAAGGAGAGACAATACAATATTATGAGGGCAATAGCTCCTGTAGCTAAGAGGAAAAAACAAAATCGTCTGCATATAGATCTCTAAAGTTCCAGTTGAATTCTATCATAAGAGTAAAAAGTAGAGCAAGTAGGGTGCTTTTATATTTTAAATTTCCTGTAGCTGCATTCTATTTAAACACAGAAGAATGCTTTCGTTTTTGGTTATCAAGTTACCAATGTCTGTTCTTCACTCTGTTACAGATGCCTGTCTAATAGACTGCAGCTTTTGTGGTGCAGATTTACGATCAGCGCACCTGCAGGTTAAGTACATTTAGACTGATTTACACTAGTGACTATCTATTTCTTTGTTTGTTTGTTTCTCTCTCTTAAGTCTTAACGCATTCTTTTTTGCTGGAGCTATCTAGTGTGTTTATTCGCTGTTTGTTTTTTGTTTTAAGACAAAAGGGTTTCCCCTTTGTTTTATGATGATATCATGCGAACTTTGTATTTATAGGCAGTACTTGTACAGATGAAAAAAAAAATTTAGAATGTAATCTTAAGCTATTTTCCCTTTTGCTACTCAAATTTTCAGACAGCTGATCTTACTAATGCCAACTTGGAAGGAGCCAATTTAGAGGGAGCCAATCTGAAGGTATAAACTGTGTATTAATTGACCTATAAAGATTTAACATCATTGTTCTATACTTTATGATATTATCTAGTAATTCTTAACTATAATCTATATGAAGACCAATAAGTGATCTGATATACAGTAAAGAAAGATAGGTTCTTCTTCTAATGCTGTTTATATCAACTCATGAACTACTCCATTCAGGGTGCAAAGTTAACAAATGCTAATCTAAAGGGCGCAAACCTTCAAAGAGCTTATCTTCGACATGTCAATCTTCGTGATACAGTAAGTGTCAATGTTTTTCTTGCTCTCCATCTGACATGAATTTGAGTTAGTTCTTACACGTGAAATTTTTGCTCTTTTTGTGTGTGTGTGTGTGTGTGGATGGAAATTGCTAAACCAAGTCTTTGGTTTTGTTAAAAAAAAAAAAAAATACCACCCCCCACTTGAGGTAATTTTCATTATTTGTAATCCTGGTATGTTTCATCTGATCCATGTTATGCACAGCATCTGGAAGGAGCAAAACTTGACGGAGCCAACCTACTGGGAGCAATCAGATAAGTGTAATGTCAACATGACAATGTTGATTTCGTTTCGTTATCATCAAAACCACCATCTATCCACCCCTACCAGAATGGAATCTCTATTTATTTGATGCTGTAAAATACATGTAGAGAAAGTATGTATAGCTAATTATCAAACGTGGGTGAATTGTGTTTACTGGCTGGAAGCCATATCATTTTCCTCGAGCGGTTTGAGCTGTCCTAATGTATTCATATTTATCAGTTCTGACATAATGTTTAAATACCTGATTCGGTATCTTTTAGGTTACAATTTTGGCATATTGTTTAGTATCTTCTATGATATCTCAAGGCTCCAAATAAGAGTAATTCCATTTAGGTTGCAATTTTGGCATACAATATTTTACTTTTGGTTCTCTGTTTTATATTTAAGCTTTGATCTTTTTAAATTTTGATAAAGACCTGGTTTAAATGTAGCTTGATCGAGAAACTCTCTCCACTTATAATATTGTACTTTTGCTCCACTTTTTAATATTTGCAATCCTTGTATATAAGAATATATTCAACCCAAATGGCATGAATTGAACCTCCACAAGCCACCTTCTAGGCTACTATTGGCATGACATAAGCCATGTCACATTGAAAGAATCTAAATTTTATATGTAAGTTAGCCTAAGGTGCAGTGGACTATCTTTGTCCTTTTGTTGGCTTTTTCATTCCTTTAAATAATAATAATAATAATAATAATAATAATAATATTATTATTATTATTATTATTATTATTATTATTATTATTTTGAGAGTAATTTGAAATACTAGTAATTGTCTCGTGCGATGCACGAACTGTTATTAATTTAACAAATTTAACAATTTTTGACATCCTCTGAATTTGCAAAGAAAGTAATGGTTGTAGAAACAGAAAAACGTACTTGAGTTCTTGAGCTCAGAAATAGTTTGATTAAAAATGTATGTATAACTATACAATGTAATATTTAATATTTTAAAAAGTTTAATTATGCTATTATTATTTTGATTTTAAAGTTTTTTGTTACTTGTATTATTATTTGAATTTGAATTTAAATTTTTTTTAAAAGAATTTGAATTTGAAATAACTACTTTAATTATATAACTAACGTATTTAAATAAAATTTGTAAATAAAATAGCATGCGATATTTGTCGAAAATCACCACAAAAATTTATTCATTTGAAAAAGATTATTTATATAAGAACTATATTTAATTTATATATAATTTATCCTCTTTATATATGTGGAGTCAAATTAATTATAATTGAGGTTTAAATGAATATATACACAAATTATATTAAATATAAAACTTTACTAATAAATTTGAACACAATAAATTTTTTTTCATACTGCATTATGCTTTAATATATATAGAGATAGAGATAGAGATAGAGATAGAGCTATAATAATAAAATATAATTTATAAAATATAAATACACATAATTACTTCAAAAAAATATGTATAAATACATCTACCCACACAATTAATACATTCATATTTGCTAATCTTGTTTCTATCAAAATGCATTCACACTTTGGAGGAAAAATTTTGTGGCTGGATTCTACTTTATTATATATATATATATATATATATATATATATATATATATATATATATATATATATATATATATATATATATGGGATGGTTCACGTGTCAAGCTTCTCAGATCTAATATAGATCAACGGCTCAAACTGAAGAAAATTTTTAAAAAATAGGGTGAGATATGAGCCATTGATCTAATATAGTCATAGATCAATGACTCAAACTGAAGAAATTTTTTTAAAAAAACAATGCGCTTCCTAACAATATGGATGCAAATGATAAGTGTCTCGACGCAGCTTAAGCTTCGAACTTATGCACCTTAAGTTGGAAAATAGTGCAGCTTATGCTTTAAACATACACACCTTATGCTTTAAACATACGCACCTTAAGAATTAAACTGAAACACCTTAAACTAGAAAGTGATGCACCTTAAACTTTAAACATATGCACCTTAAACTATGAACTTACGCACCTTAAGCTACAAACTTACGCACCTTAAGTAATAGACTTACACACCTTAAGCTTTAACTTAAGCACCTTAATGACATCTGTTGTGGGAGAGAATATTTGATCAAAATAAATTCAGGGTCTCTGCATAAACCCTTAAGCTATCAGTCACGCTTTATATCATACCACCAGATTGTTTGTATTTCTTTTTTTCGTAAAAACACCCATTTGCAACCTACATGGTTAACATTAAATGGTGTACGTGTTATAAAGAGAATATAGTTTTAGCGAGCTGAGCTGTATATGCCTTAATTGCTCCTTTATACATTTAAACAGTCACGACACTACTAGTGTAAAGCTTTGGATCCAAATTTATATAATATTAGCAATTGTAAAGGTAATTATGTTGTCGACAACTATAACATTTTTCATAAATTTCTCCCATATATATAAAATTAATGGTAATTTCTAATTCAACAAGACTCTAGCTGTTTCCCAAAGATTTTTTTGTCTGGTTGTTCCGCATCTCCAGTATTATGATTTTGGGTGCACATATAAATTTACTGGGTTTTTTCGCCTTTTGGACGAATGTCTTCAGGACATACTTCTTTAAGCGATTTCAAGAGTGACGAAATTTTCTACTAGATTTAGCTTTCCGCGGATTCTTGTCTTTTATACCGACATGTCTCCACGCTTCTGGCGTCAAGGAGAATTAGTAGATACATACGATCCAAGTTGGGGAAGATATATGAGACCTAGTTACTCTTTTTATCAGTATATATATTGGCATATTAGTTATCTTCTGAACTTCTAGTTCAGTTTATCTCTTCTGAACTTCCAGCTTAGTTTACCTAATACGTGAGTTTAAATACTAAAGATCTTTTCATCAACCATGCATTTCATGAAATTTCTCGGCATTCTATTAAATTTGGGCTTTTATCTCCCCCTAATGTCGTGAAACGATCTTCATCAAGTGTGTAGTTAGCGTACCTAATTATATACTGATCCTCTATCATGGGCTCTAGGTATTTAAACAACAGACGGATGTTTTGATAGCCCTTGGAGGTAGGCAATGGTGGTAATATAGTAAAACAGACTGCACACTGTGAACAAAACGCAGATAAGGAAATGTTTGATCTTATACCACGTACTAGGTGCTAGGGATAATAATAATTATGATATGCAGTATGTCAGATTTTGATAACAACAATAGCATATAAAACTGATGTCTCCAACAAGAAAATTCATAATTTAAGAATTTTCTTTTACAAAATATGCTTTATATAATATGCATTTGAAGAAATCTGACTCGCTAAAAAAACTATTTGCCCAAGGTGACCCACTATAGATCATCCCATACTATAATGTCATTTGGGTCTTTAAAGCCTTTAAAAATGTATCACAACATATGAAATACCCAAAACATATATGCAATCATCTAAGAATAAAATATATAATCAAATATGAAAGCATACATATCAAATGATATTATAATGGTACACAAAAATCATAGGGGAAGCTTGTCAAATAAAATTGATCTTCAAGATCTCCCAAAAATATTTATCCTCATCTTTCCAAAGAGTAACATCATTAGCTTCGTGCAAATTGACATGATATAATTCACTCCCTCATTTGCTTCATGCAAACTAATATGATATAATTCACTCACTCGTTTGCTTCGGGCAAACTGATATGTTATCATTTGTTTCTATCTTTCAAACCAATAACATCTAAATCAATCATATCATGTATGGCATAAGTCAAAAACCATTCATGTAAAGGGAGTTTTTTCCCATTTTGGTCCCCTGACTATTGATGATTCTCAATTTTTCATTTCGACTTTCAATTGCACCTAATGTAGTCCCTTGACTTTCAAAAATTACCCCATTTTGGTCCTCCGTTAGGGTCTTCGTTAAGCAAGAGTTAAATTGGAGGGAAATCTCGTTCATTCACCCTATTAGCTCCTAATATACCTGCCTGTCGTCCCTTTTTTTGCTTTCTTCTTCATAGAGTAGTTCTTCTGCAAACAAACACCAAGAACCCTAGATTTCTTTGCTTTCTTCTTCCACGATTGCTTACCATGTCAACACAGTGGAGGCAAAGTACCAAGTTTTCTTGTTCATCGACATCATCTTCGCCAAGACAGAGGTACCACTACAGAGATGCAATCCTTACGCGCATATGCAATTGTGGCAGTGAATGGAGCATTCAAACATCTTGGATGGGTTTGTGTAAGGAGCATTTCCCACCATTTATTGAGCATCCATGTCGAATTTTTTGTTACATATTTGTCAATTTTAAATTGTTTGTGAGAATTATTGAATTTGTTGATAGGATGGTGTCGGATGTGGATTCAAGGAATGGTTCGGTCCTCCAATGTGTCCACGTGCGAAGAAGATTATTCTCGGCTTATTAAGAAGTATGAACAAAAAAGATGAGGAGATTGAGAGGTTAAAAGCGATGGTAGTGTCCTCCATTGGTGGTGTCCTTCCAAGAAATTGCAATTATGGCAAAAGAGGAGGCTATAGGTTTAGGATTAATTGGTTTGTGCTAATTGTGTTAGGAATAAATTGTAATAGATTTCGATATGCCAAATTGTAACTTGTAGAACCCCCAATTTTATTTGGTTTAAGTCTATTTGAGTCTTAGACCATGATCGAGAAATTATTAATTAAGAAACAAAAGAGAAAAACATAAGAGGAAGATGTATGAAAAATGAAAGAAGATATCAAGCCTAAAATCAAGAATTTGTCTAGTGAAAATGACAAACAGAAGAAAATGTATGCATATGATATGTATAAAATGAACTTCACGCCAATACCATACTCAAGAAGACTTCAAAGAAGAATTTTCTTTGAAGAAGATCAAGATTTGAATTCTGCATGAATTAGACTTAGAGATCAAGTATCTATGAAAAGAAAGGAGTACATCAAAGAAGATTGGAAATGTAACCAAATGATTGTATAGATAGATTGGATGATACCTGAAGTATTATATCTATTGGTTCATGTTTGAATCTCATCATCTACAATTTTACAAGGTAAATTTTGACAAGCCAAGATAATTAAACCAGATGAAGGGGGCTAGTCATGAAATTGGGATTGGGAGCCGATTTGCAAATTGTAGTATGGGATGCAATTTCTAGTTTGGGTGCCAGTTTCAAAGTCAAATAAAATTGAATAGGTT